TTATGCATGTGAAGATAATTTTTTGAATCAAAGTGTAAAGTTATTCCTTCTGAATTTCAGACTGTAAGAGTTAGCCTGATGTCATTCAAAACCTTTTTGGAGGGGCAGCTAGGTGGTGTAGTGAATAGAGCACTGGCCCTGGCGTCAGGAGGACCTGAGTTCAAATCCAACCTCAGACCAAACACTTGATACTTACTAGCTGTGTGACCCTGGGCAAGTCACTTAACCCCAATTGCCTAAAAAAAAAAAAGAAAAGAAAAAAAAACCTTTTTGGATTGTGATTGATATTGTTAAGCTATTCTTCCAGCTTTCTGTCTTCGGATTAATTTGATATGCGTGATATCAAAGCCTTTAGTGGAGTTATTAATCAGAATGTTAAATAGCCCAGGACCACATGTCAGAGCTCTGATGCATTCCAGTGTAGACCTCCTGCCAGACTGACATTGAGCATTAATGACTCTAGGTTTGCCCATTCACCCAGTTCTGGGTCCATCTGATTAAGTCATTAGCTGGGCCCCATCTTTCCATTCCCTTCCCCACCAGAATAGGATTAGGTGCTTTATCAAAAAAGTAGCCAAAGTCCAGGTAAACCATCTCTAGTCTTTTCCTGGTCTGCCAGTTGAATAATCTTTTCAGAAGGTAAGTAAGTCGGTCTTGATGAAGCCATGCTGACTCATAATCACGGCTTCCTTTTCTAAAGGTTCACTACTTAACTTGTAAGTGACCGATTCTAAAAACAGCTCACTAGCCTACAGTCAGTCAGTGAGCCTTCATTAAGTTCCTGTCCTGTGCCAGGCTCTGTGCCAATCCCTCTAGCTGGTAGATTCTGCACCCCTCCCCCTCTCTGAAAACCAGATCCTTTTTCCTTCTCCATCTTGGGGCATCTTTTCTGTTCTCCGTGACTCCACAAGGGACACTAATCTGCTGCAGCCTCTGCTGGCCTCCAGGCTCGAGGCCCCAGCTGCCTTTCGGACATCTCAGACTGGATGCCCAGTAGACATCTGAAACTTGTGTCCAAAGTGGAAGTCATTGTATTTTCCCCTAAACCCTCCCATCCCTGCTCCCTTCCCCGTACCACTGAGGGCACCTCCATCCTCCCAGTCCCTCAGGCTCCCAGCCCAGGAGTCGTCCTGGAGTCGTCCTGGACTCCTCACTACCTCTCACACCCTAGAGCCAAGCTGTGGCCAAGGCCCATCGAGGCACCTCTGCAACGTCTCTCCAGCATGCCCCCTTCTCTTCTCTGACACTGCCCCCAAACTGGTACAGGCTCTCATCACCTCACACCTGAATTATGGCAACAGTTGCAGGTGAGTCTGTCTGCCTCAAGTCTCTCACCACCCCCCTCCATCTTCCATTGAGCCACTGATGTGATTTTCCTAAAGTGCAGATCTGATCCTCCCATCCCCACTCAGTAACCTCCAGTGGCTCCCTATTGCCTCCAGCATCAAATATAAAATGCTGTCTGGCATTCAAGGCCCTTCATAACCTTCTCCCCCCACACCAGTCTCTTTGCTTTCTGATCTAGCTGGAAAACTGGCCTATGCTTGGGACATGGGCAGCGGCTGTCCTTGGCAGAAATACGCAAGGACTGCTAGAGCAGGGCAGGGCAGTGGTCAGACCTCTCCACTCCTTGTGGCTCGCCAGTCTCTGCTGTACTTTTTGAACTGCTCGTGGGGCTTTAGAATTTATCTGCTAAGTACCTATTTCAGACTTTTATCACCTTTGAACAAGTTGGCAGGCATGCCTTGCTTACTTCTCCTTGGGCACTAATCTCTCTAATTTCTTTCATCATTTTTTTTTTTTTACTTAGCATCTTACTCTACCACTTTGTCCTCCTTCCCTTTCCTCCCAAATCTTAGTCCTGCTCCTTCTCCTGCAGCCCTTGGAGCCTGGAGATTCCCCTTTTTAAATGCTCCCTAATTTCTCTCAAATTCCTTCTCACATTCAGTCTCTGGCTTTTTTTTCACAAGTCCATACTATTCTAAATTACTTACATCATTTTCTAGCTCGAATTCTCATTTCTTTTTATTGGTCTCCCCCAGAGGCTAGGAGATTTTTGAACTGGGACTGACATGGTCAGATCTGCTTTGGGGAATATCAGCTTGGCAGGTACAGGGGATTATGGATCCAGAGACTGGAGGTGAGAGACCAGTTAGGAGGAAAGAAGAGCTGGAAGGAGGAGGATGGTGGCTGGAGGGAAGACGCAGGGAGGGAATGGGAGATGGGAGTCATGCCGTGGAGGGATAAGGGATATGGGAGGGAAGAGAAGAAGAGGCAGGAGGGGCAAATTGGTTCCCACAGGCCTGACTGTCTCCTGGCTCTCCCTGCTGCCGGTCTCTCCTGCATCTCTGATCCTTCACGCAGCTGCCCAAGAGCTAGTTCTCAGGCCTAGGTCTTACTCTGTACTCATGCTCAGAACTCTCAGTAGTTCCCTGTTGCTCGTAGAAAGAATTCTGAATTCCTCAGCCTGGCATTTCAACCCCTCAATGATGACCCTTCAGGTTCCTTTTCTAACTCTACTTCATACTAGGGCCCTTCAGGAATTCTCCTTTCTAGTCTGAATTTCGTCCGCCTCCAGGCTTTCACACATACCATGCCCCAGGCTCCACTTGAGATGCCATCTGTGGTGGAAATTCGGGCTGCGTTCCCCAGTGGAGCCTCAAACTCCTCGTGGGCTGGGACTTTGCCATTTTGGGCCAGTGTCTAGCACAGTGCTGTGTGCAGAGTTGGTAAATACTTGTCTGTGTGTTTGGTGAAATAATCTGCAAAGCGTTTTATCAATATAGTTCTCATCATCATCATCAGTTGAGGTAACAACATAAGAGATGGGAGGGCTCTTGCCCAAGCTTATATGGTTTGTTAGGGATGTGTTGGACATGAGCATTTTTTGGAATTTTATAAGGTGATTTTTTTGCAAGGAAATATGCTAATAATATGCTCATTTTCATTTTGTAACTGCTAATAGAGCTATCTCAAATTGGAATAAGCTGCTTCCAAGACCAGAGGCCTCTGAGCTCCCTTCTGCCTTTCACTCTAAACCTTGCCTTTCCTTCCTTCCTTCCCTCCTTCCTTCCCTCCCTTCCTTCTTTCTTCCCTCACTCCCTCCTTCCCTCCCTCCCTTCCTTCCTGACCACTAGCAGCTGAGGAAGGAAATCCAGGTTGATATTGCCACCTCCTGGACAAAAAATAAAACTAAATAATTAGAAAAAAGTAAATGTGAGCCAAAGCCTGACCAACATATCTAGTATATTTCTATACATAAGTGAATAAGGGGAATGTCAAGTTTTTTTTAATCATAAAAATGGATTTATAATTAAAAAGTACCTAATAGCTTATATTTTCATAAAGTTTTATCCTTTCTGATATACTTTACCAACAACAACCTATATAGCTGAATGACTAGACTTAACAAATAGTTTGGTTGTTCACCAAATAGTTAATGTTAATGTTCAAGGCTAAGGAGGTAGGAGGTCTCCAGCAAAGTACCCCAAGGATGTGCTATGACCTTGTGCTGTTTACGAAGGTCTTGGATAAAGGCACAGATGTTGTACTCATCGAATTAGCAGGTGACACCAGACCAGCAGGGACAGTGGCTAGTGTAGAGCTGTATAGGGTCAGTTGCTAAAGGCTCTCAGCCAACTGGAGCATAGGCTGACTCTACTTTATGATGGTCAACAGGGACTGTGCATAGCCTTGTACTTACATAGAACAATGCAGCTATGCAGGTCCAAAATAGGGATGGCTACTGCAAGCCCAGTGTGACTCCCTGGGATGATGGAACGACCGAGAAAGCTCGTGCCTTCGGCGTGCGAGGGAGGAATCGCTTAATAATTGCTTGTTGACTTCTTCTTGTTGATTACATAGGGTTACCAAGGGAATCAATTATATTAAAACACAATTATAGAAATATATTCTTTTTTATTTTTAGCCAGTTGGGTTTAAGTGGCTTCCTCAGGTCACACAGCTAGTAAGTGTGAAGTGTCTGGTCTAAGGTCGGATTTGAACTCAGGTCCTCCTGACTTCAGGGCTGGTACTCTATCCGCTGCGCCACCTAGCTGCCCCTTATAAAAATATTTTAAAGACACATTTCTGAGTTGGTCATGGTGACATACATATAACCATGATTCTAGCTGCTGGGGTGATTGAGGTTGCTGGATCTCGTTAACTCAAAGATCCCTTCTTTGTAACTCATGGTTTCTCTGACTTAGAAACGAAAACTACATTTTGGCAGGATTTGGTCAATTAACATTAAATAATTAGCCCTTCTTTGAAGGAAAAATGACTTATTGCCTTTCTCCTACTAAACATTTTTTCTTTGTGGTAATAGATATCATGGTGGCTATGCTCCATTGTAAGAAGGTGATTGGTGATCGGCAATGCTTATGTGACAACATGCAAATGTGAATCACTTTCCTTGTATTTAAAGGGATCTTTGCCACTGATGTTTCCTACTTGTTTGCTGATTATATTATTATCTTGTCAAGACACTAACTAGAAGAGCTTATTATCTAAATGAAGGAACTGAAGCCCCAATTCAGTTTTAAGAATATTTCCTAGAGGAAAAATGTGAATATTTTAAATCAGTCACATTGTCATGGAAATGATAACTTATTCCACATTGTTGTAAAAGCATTTGATTCTGTGTTTCTGAACGATAACAGCTAGCATTGATGAATGCTTTAAGATTTGCAAAGTACTTTGCAAATATTATCTTATTTGAACCTCTCACCAACCCTAGGGGGTGGGTGCTATTGTTATCCCCATTTTGTAGTGAGAAAACTGCAGCACGCAGAGGTGAAGTGACTTGCCCAGGGTCACACAGCTGGTAAAATATCTGAGACTGGATTTGAACTCAGCTCTTCCTGACTCCAGTCAGCTGCTAGTCATCTTTTGAAGATAAAGAGTTACCAAGTGCAAATTTAGAAAAGATTAATCCAGCTTCATTGGCACAATGTATTCTCTGGTCCTAAATGTGATTCCAATCTGATTTATTTCCACAGTCACAGCCCTTTCAGACAACACAAAACCAAAGACAAGCATGAGATCGACCGGATGACACTTACAGTGGTAAGGCAGCCTGCCATGTTTGAGGAGCTGGCCTTCAGGAGTGAGTGGAGGAAAAGAGAATTTTTAAAAATTTTTAAATTTTTAATTAATTGATTTATTTTTAGTTTTCAACAATCACTTCCATAAACTTTTGAGTTTTAAATTTTCTACCCCTGCCTCCCTGCCTCCCTGCTCACGCAATCTGATGTAGGCTCTTTGTGTACATTTCTATTAAACATATGGAAAAAAGAATTCTTGAGCGGATTTCTGAGATCCAAGTGGATTGAAACTAGACCAGAATCTAAAGCATGATTGGCCAAAGGCTGAGACAAAAGCAGGAGAGCAGAAAGGCCATTGTGACGTGGATCACTCACCTCTTGCCTCACATGCTGAATTTGAAGTTTATAATAACCTACTGATAATCACATTTCCTTCAAATAAATGTATATTCTGTAGCTCCCTAAATGGTCACTACAGTGCTTATCCTCCAATGCTTGTAGCTGTGGCCTTTGCTCTACAGTGGTCATGCCTTAATCTCTATTTATGACGTTGCCTTTTGCCCGTAGAATGTGGAACTTCCCGATGCATTTTCTCCTGAATTAAAATCCCTTTTGGAAGGATTGCTACAAAGAGATGTCAGCCAGCGACTCGGCTGCCTGGGAAATGGGTAGGCGCTCCTTCCTTGGTGCCTTCTTGTCCATGTGTCTCCTCAGCCTCTGCTGTGACTCGGGGTTCACCAAAGCTGGTTTTATTCATTGCTCTGTCCTGCGTCTGCTCTGTTATGAAAGACCATAGATCTCCGAAGTGGCAACACACAGCTTGGGCCTAGGGTCTGTTGGGTACTTTCACTTGTATGATTAAAGGCAAATAGATCTAATTTCTATAGTTCTTTCCTCCCAAAAACCCTGTGAGGGAGGTAGTACAATGCGGTTCAGTGAGTATTTATTAGATACTAGCACTGGGGGAGATGGAGAGGGAGAGAGAGAGAATGAAAATATGAGTGAATATGACCCTGAGGTTGCCATAGGGAAGTTCAGAGGCCCTTTGGGGGAAAGGTGAAAGGAATTCCATTTTGGACGTTTGTGGGTGAGATGTCTCTAGGGCTTCCATCTTCAGTTGGTGGTGTGAAACTACAGATGAGGAGAGAGCCTAATCCAAGGGTGGGGAACCTGCAGCCTCTGGGTCAAACTACAGATGAGGAGAGAGCCTAATCCAAGGGTGGGGAACCTGCAGCCTCTGGGTCACACGTGGCCTCCTTGTTCTCATTAATACTGTTTATTTTCTCTCTAGTGCAGAGGAAGTCAAAAGCCACATATTTTTCAGAGGAGTCGACTGGCAGCACGTCTACTTGCAGAAGGTAGCCAGCCCGTTGTGAGACCCGTTGTTGCTTCCTCTCACTGTGGCCCCACCATGGCGTCACAGCCTGATGGAGAGCCGCCCTCCTCCCTCCAGCTTAGTGTTTCCGGGCCTCTCTTCCTTCTCTATTTCCATTCCTCCATTTAGCTTTTCTTTACATTCTTGAATTACCCTCAGCACTCCAGTGACTGGGATCTCATTCATTTGGAAGTTACCCCCATCAGGTCAGAGGGCAATCCTATGTAAATTCCATTACGTTTCAGGCAATACTAAATTTAATGAAAAATAGGCAAAAAAAAAAAACCCAAACTTTTTTTATAAAATATTTTCTCTTACATTTGAGTAATTATATTTTCTAATCATGTGTATGAAATGGTGATTTAGGGAAGAGAACTGAATCTGAGAAAGCCAATTTTGGCCTAAAATTGCCACAGAATTGAAATTGAAGGGTTCCCCATTTCAGCTTGTTGAGAGAAATACTTCAGTTTGTGTGCTGAGAGGAAGATTTGTGTGTGTGTGTGTGTGTGTGTGTAGCTATTTCAGTCCACATAGAGTAAATATTATAACTTTTACGTTTGACTTTTATCTTTTGCCCAGCACAACACCATGTACTATTGGTACCTGAAACCATTTTTAATGTGAATAATGTTGATCCTTGGTGTTTGTGAGCTTCATTAATATTAATCACTTCATTAGTGCTGGAACAAACCTCCAGAAGTCGCGCAGATTACAAGTTCAGAAAGTGCTCATTTTTCCAAAGGACAAAAGTCTCTGCAAAGGAAGAGAATCTAGGTTTATAACGTTCTGATGATAATATTGGCATCCACAGAGTGCTGTGAAGTTATAAAATGCTTTCCTCACAACAATCTGGCGACGGTATGTAGGGCAGAATATCCTTGTGCTCATTTTACAGATGAAGAAACTGAGGCACAGAGAGGTTAAGTGGCTTGCCCACGTTTGCCTAGCTAGTCATGTTGGAACCCAGGGCTTGGATCAGATCTTCTCACTCCAGTCCTGGCGCTTGTTGTCACTCTTCCATAATGGCCTTCAGAGGGTGACCTTGGAATCACAGTTTTTCCAACTGCAGTCTACTTAGAATTGAGTTAAAAGGGGTTTCCATGCTTGATGTCTCTTCTGAGCTCCATGTGACGGAGGCTCCCAAATTAGGTGATATTCAAGCCTGTGTAATGGTTGCATTGTGTTCTCCTTGCAGTTCTGGAACAAATATGATTCTCAAAATAAAATTTTGTTTTGTTAAGATCTGCAATCTTAGGGCCCCAGTAATTTTTTAAAAATCAAAACTTTGAAAATCAATTCATTTTTTAAAAAAAATTTCATCGAATTCTCTGAAAAGTGAGATTCTTTTTGTTGTGATCAGAATAAGCAAGTATAAGAAAAAATGCACATGATGGTTTTAAACTTAATACTTGATACAATAGGTCTCGTCTTGAAAAACATTCCTTTCTGTTGCCCCTTGGAAACCCATGATCTGATGTCCTCCCCGCTCCCCAGCTCCCCCAAAAACACCTGTACCAGAAAGCACAGCTTGCTCATTGTTTTGCCCTGCTCTGAATTTCCCAGTATCCTCCACCGCTGATCCCTCCCCGGGGTGAGGTAAATGCTGCAGATGCTTTTGATATCGGCTCATTTGATGAAGAGGATACCAAAGGCATTAAGGTACTCACTTATGTGACTTATTCTTGCTCCCACTTAGTTGAAAATGAACCGCATTTGTTGTTGTTGTTTTAAACTCTGATAGAATATCTTGCCGTCATTACCAAGATGTTTGAGGAAGTGTTAGCTTGGAATCGAGAAATAATTCTGAAAATGAATATAGTACGTATTTATTTTTGACAAAATTCAAAATGATCTGATTACTCTTAATTTGAATTATAGTTGGTTGAAATAAAACCTCAAGTGTTTACAACACAGTAAAACCCCTGCAAATGTGGGGCCTAATTTGTTATAGGTAAGCTGTCAGTTATCGGAGTTCTCTTTGATCTTTAGTTTTCTCAGGCTGAGTTAAAATCGAGTCCATAGTGAATTGCTATGAATCATTTTGGGGTTGTCAATCACCAGTTAAGTAATCACTACTTTTAATATATTCTTTTGAATTTTTGATATTTCCATATTATTATTTTTGCAAGTAGAGTCAAGACATTATTCTAGATAGTGAATCATAAGAGAAAATGATGCTTGTTAGCATTTCTTAGTAAAATTTTGTCACTCAGCACCAAAAAATGATCATCGACCACTATGTTCTCATCTTGTATGTGTTTACTGGCTCTATCTGTCCCTTCCTAGATAATCAGGCTCACTTCCTTACTAATCACAGATAAGGGCTCTCCTGACCAATACCATTAGATTTGCAAAGTGTTTTTTTAAGGTACAATGGTACAGGGAAGGTCAAAGCTAACCAGAAGAACACCAGAGATTACCAGGGGCCAGTAGTGACCCTACAGGTACATGCAGGTGAGAAAGGAGCTGAGGCAGAAAGCTGAGCACTGTCCTGGAGGAAACCTGAGACTGGGGCCTGAAATCTGTCACACAGCAGTAAAGGATCATAGTATATACATGGTGGTGACTGAATGTGTCAGCAAGTGAGTGAGCGTCAGTAGAGTTTGCCATAGAGGATTTAGACGTGGAAGGAACTTAGCCTTCTAGTTGTGTGTCTCCAGAATGTGTGTCTCTGGAAGAGCCGTCACTCCCTGGCTCACTTTGGCTTTACATTATCTAATTGCAACTGTGCTCTCACTGCTGAAAATCAATCCCCTCACCTTCCAGACTCATCTCTGTCACACTCAACTAGGAGCTGTTCTACATTCCTTCATTTCTCTGTAATATTTCTTTTCCAATCCCACTCCTTCCTATCAGTGGAAGACCTTGCCTCCTAATTTACTTAGCAAATATTGGCCATTGATTGTGAGCTGCTTCTTATCTCCTATTCTGCATCTCGAAACACGTCCATGTCATCTCTTATCCTCTCTTCTCTTGCTCCAGTCTATTGAGGTGACCCTTCTCCTCAGCAAAACCAATCCTTCTGTTTATACCCTGGATTCCACTCCTTCTCTGTTTCCCCTGGGACCCTGCCCTTTTGATCATCTTCCCCCTCTCTTTTCCCTAATTTTAAATCTCTAATTATTCACCAACTCCTTTCTTGCTATCAATAAACATAACCTGGATCTCATCTATCCTTCCAAAAAAAATCACTTGACTCTACTATATGATCAAGTTATCATCCAATCACCTGCCTCTCATACATAGCTAAATTCTTAGGAAGGGTTTCCTTCCTCTGGTCTTATCTAGTTTTGTGTTCATTTGTAACATGCCTTCCAGCTTCACTATTGTACTGAAATTTCTTTCTCTAAGATTACTGACAATCTCTTAATTTCTAAGCCTTTGCTGGGCTGTAGCTTCCAAGGGGCAGGGAAAGTATCCCACTTCGGTTTGGTGTCTCAGCATTGTATTCAAAGCACCTGAAATTCTTGAGAAGAATGTAGTTCAGCACTTGGACAGCTCCTCCATCTCATTGACGTGACTTACAGGTCCCTACCTGCCTGTGTCTTTTCAGCTTGTCCAGTTCTTGCCATCTCTTCCAGTAAAGCCTCTCTTGAGGAGCTAGCTGATTTGCTGAAACCCTTTCATTCTGAGCTTGCCCAGGTACAGCAACCCTTGGCTAGCTATCTGTTATCTCTCAATCTCACTACTGACCAATCACACATTTCCTAATCGATGTCTTTTTATATCATTTCTTGCGTGCAAATCATTGTGAGAGGCAGTGTGGTATAATAGGAAATGCACTGGACTTAGACTGAGGAGAGACACGGGTTGGGGTCCACCATAGTAAGGCATAACAGATGTTTGAAAGATCGATTTTGTGTCATGGCATGGTTTAGGGCTGTTGAAAGCATTGAACAATTTCCAGTATGCAGAACGTGCTCCCTCTCTGTCCTCTTCGGTTCTCGGCATGACTCACTGGCCACAATTCCTTTCTACACATATACCCTTAATGGGTGGCTCATCTAACATAATAGCTTGGGCTGGACAATAGATTGAGTTGTGTGTGGATTCTTAAGCTCATCCTTTTTGAGTGATTGTGGAATCTCACTAAGGATTCCCTGCCTCTTGTACATAACTGGCTTTGTGATCCTGAGCAGCAACTCATTTAACCTCTTGACATCATAGCTTCCTTATTAGCAAAATAGGGTGAAGAGTGTCTGCGGCATATAATTCCTTCCCAGGGTGGTCATGAGGTTCACATGAGAGAGTACATGTAAAGTACTTTGTGCACCCTGGGTCACTCATTCTGTAAATGGCAGCTTCGTGCCATCAGCACGGTATAGGACAGCTACATCTTTAGGAGATCATCTTCCCTTTGGACTTTGCACAGGTTATGAGCTCCTTGGAGTGGAGAACCGTATGGATCCCTAGTTGGTGTTTCTGTTGAGATTGTTAATCAGATTGCTGTCAGGGTCATATGTGTGGTGCTGTCTGTCCAAGAGTATTGTCTTCTTTTGGAGGACTCTTTATCTTGGTTTTGCCATGATAGTTTGCCTTTTTTTTTTAATTATCAGCAAACAGTGAACCATCTGATCTTGTATTCTATGCATCTTTCACTTTCTTGTGTGACTAAAAATGTAGCCTGCTATAGAAAATAATTAGGAGAGGTCAGCCTGTTTGCTGCTTTCGTCAAGACTACTACTGAGAAAGAGTGTGTGTGTGTGTGTGTGTGTGTGTGTGTGTGTGTGTGTGTGTATAGATCATTGGCATTAATATTTCACTGAAATGAAACAGTACTTCAGAACTTTGAAGAGAAGGCCAAAATAGGGATCAGTAATTATTGATGTCTTCTCTGTCACTTTTATTTTAAAATAGCATAATTTATTTGCCAGGGAGGTAGTATTTCCCCCTCTTTCAGACATCTTTTAAATTGAGCCTTAAATCCTTTCAAAATTGTCACTTCTAGGAGCATAGATTTCATCTATGTTTACTTGGTCAGACCCAATTTTCTTACCAACTTGAGTTTTATAAATGCTGCTTTCACTTCCTCATTATATCACATCAGGAACTGAGATGTTAAGAGTCCAATCAGTAATGATTCCATTCTTATTTATTAAAATAAATTATTATTACCAAAAATGTTGGCAGATTGAATCCTTTTTTCATCTCTTTGCTATCTTCCTTCCAATTTCATCTGCAAATACTCTTGGCCTAATCTGGCTTAGTTGGGTCTCATGCCAAGCTTTCTGCAGACTTGTTTTCCCTTCTACTGCCCTTTAACATTTTGTGAGGTGATTACTTGGAATCTTCCCCCGTTCTTCTCTAACATTTTTAATGGACTTATATTCCAAACTTATGTTGGTCATGGCTGCTGTGTCTCTTTTCATAGCAAGGAAATAAAGTATTTACCGATCAAGGCAGATTCTGGATTCTTTTATGCTCTTCATTCTTGTGATTGGATTTACAATGGTTAAATATCTTTAAAAATGGGAATACCCTGAACCAATATCTTTTCTGTTATCTGTTTCCATCTATTGAAATCATTAAGCTGTTTGAATAGGTCTGGTTGGAGCTATTGTAAGTTAACTGTCTCTTAAAACTTTATTATTTTAATGTGGTGATGCTTTTTGACCTTTGCTCTAATTATTCAATGACCTAAGTGGGACCTTCCTTTGCCTTTCTTTGTATCCCCCAGTACTTAGTACAAGGCCCACTCACAATACATGTTTAATAAAGGTTTATTGATTGACAAGATATCTGATTCACACTTGACTCCCAGTAACTTCCTATCAGTTAAGACACAGATGTTTTATTCATTGTGATCATAGGGCCAGAGGTTTCACTGTGGAAGGGATTGTAGAGGTCGTATAGGCCAGCTCCTTCCTTTTCCATTTGAGGATGCGGTGACTTGTCCAAGAGCACCCACCAAGTAAATGGCAGAGTTGGGATTTGACCTAGGACTTCTGAGTTCATCAGTGCCCTTTCCACTGTACCACACTGTCTGGATGTTGGGATTCACTCTGACTCTCTTCTTGAAGAAGTGCTGGAGACTCTGAGCAAGTCACTGAACCTCTCCAGCCTCAGTTTCCTCATTTGTAAAATGAGGGTTCTGAACTTGAAGTCCTAAAGTCCAGCTCTAAGTCTTTGGTCCTCTGATGCTATGATATTCAGGAGTGAGACTTCTGAATCATCTCTAAGCCTTGGTCTGCTTTCACTTCTTAATCTTGAGAGTACTGTCCAATGTATTGGTTACTGCCATCTCTTGTGTTCACTTTGGTATCAAAGTCACAGACAATGACTTATTTGGAGGATCCTGTCAAGTTTTTTTTTAATAGAATTTCCTACGGCATCATCTGCAGGAGAGGCCTTGGTGTTTAAGCTTCAGTTTTTTGATTTATGCTTATTAGGAGCTCTACAAGAGGAGATGGCCAAGTCTTGCCTCAGAATGCTCAGGGAAACAAACTTCATCAATTCTTTATTTGCCTCTGCAAGGAAAAGCTGTCCACCAATCCTCCATTTAGCTGTAACTGCCTTATGTCTTTTGCTTTGATGTTTAATTTTTTTTCAATTAACAAGCATTCGTTTTCTTTTCTCCCCACCTCTCTCCATCCCCTCTCTTTCCCCCACCCCATTTAAAAAAAAGAAAAAGAAAAACAAACCTGTATACCAATTATGCA